TGTATATATATATATATATATATATATATATATATATATATATACACACACACACACACACACACATACATACATACACACACACACACATACATATATACAAACACACACCACAGATAGCATAAAGCTCAGTGGAACTATTTTATCATTCTGTTTCTGGACCTATGCTTGGTAGTTTGCATCTCCTACAAATCAGTCATTTCAACAGGAAGCAATTTTCAGAATATGTACACAATACCATTCCCTCCTTATCAAGGATGCAGCCTACATGTTGCTCATGCACTAGGACTATATTTATTGTCATTCCAATGCATTTATCTCTGTGAATAATAAGAGAGAAACATAATACTGAAAACACTGTTAATGGGAACAAAGAACACAGGCCCAGGTAGAAATATCTTTAAATTTCATGTGACAAGAAAGGATGAAAAATTAAATGTTTTTACTGTTTTCTTTCTAGTAAGTTCTAAGTTACCTGTGGGTTATTATCTCCAAATACAAATATTCAATTACTACATTGAAAACGGCATTACTGAAATGGAATTGTTTTAATTCAGTTTATATCTGATGCACTTTTAAAACAAAACATCCCGTTATGGAATGCTATGAGGCAGGGAGATCCTGAGCTCATGTTGGAGGATCCCAACATGAAAGAGTTCAGGGTAATGAATACTACCCTAAATAAATACTACAAGGTAATAAGTACTACTCATAAATACTACTCTGAAGACTTAGAGATGGTGAGAGGGAAACTGGTGGATATCTGGAGTTTACCTGACAGAACCTGGGCTGGACTGGATAAGAAAAAGAAATGTAGAGAATAAATTATGGAATGAGGGAGACCCTTGCCAGAATGAAAACAATGTGACAAGTAATGAGAGGGCATAGAGGGCATAAGGAAGGAAAGCAGGGAAGGACTATGTGGGGGGTGTTCTTTGTGTGTATATTTGAGCAAGGCAAAATGCATATTTGGGGGGACTCTAAAAGAAAAAGAGGATTGATGTCAGGGACTAAGACCATGATGGTGACCCAATCATAAAACTTCCTCCTGTACCACAGTCTCACATGCTGTCTCATTTCAGATGCTAGATTATGACATTCTTGTTCACCCAATATTTGTAGGGTAAAGGCTGGCCCAGGACTGCCTTTAAATGAACTGGGTTAATATAATTTAACTTCTGTATAGTCAAAGGTTGCACTTTTACTATTCTTAGTTTCTTTCATTGAAGATTGTTTTATTATTTACTCAATGTGGGCTTCCCTCAGAGAGGAAAGCATTATACAAATTGATCAAATATGCTAGGCATGTAGCCAAGAGGGAAATCGAGGGAAAATCTCACTCATCTGGGAATTGTAGATTCAAAGGAATGTATTTCAGAACTAAGGCCTTGGTTTCTACACTGTGTTTAGATTTCTAGGCAAATTATTCATCTTTTAGCCTCATCAGTATGCCTTTCTTTAAATGACTATTTAAATTAACATCCTGTCAGTATCTATTATGCTACCTTGTCAAAATTCCAGATGTGGAGTACCCTCCCCCAAAGTTGGAAATCATTGGTTCAGCATTATTTCTGACTGTATCACAAACTTGCTTAAGGACCCTCAACATATTCAGAAGTATGCGATTTGAACCTGTTTCCCTTGTCTAGACTCAACACATTAGTTTACTCAGGAGGAACAAATATAAAGTATTATATTTTAGAAATCAGTGAATGCCATCTTTCCTATTATGAATTTGTAATAATCCTCCTTATGTATATTTTCTGTCTGATTTCTTCTTTGAAGTAACTCTGAAGGAACATTCACACTTTTCCAGGTATTAAATGTTGTCTTTGAAAATATCCAAGAAAATGAGGCCAGTGGCAATGCTCAGAATATCCAAGTTAAAGTCCTGGATTGTGACAGCATAGGACAGGCCAAAGAGAAGATCCTGCAGGCCTTTCTGAACAAGAACGGATCCCTGTATGGTCTCCAGCTAAGAGAAATGGGCCTGAGTAAGATACTGATACTGCTATATTTGTCATAAATTCAAAAATAGCTATTTGTTTTTGTCTCCCCACAATTTTATAGTTGTTTTTATTATTTATTTTTAATTGTATGGTTTGCATTTTTAAAAAAAACTACTTAAATAAATAAAAACTAGTTAACAGATGAACTGTAAAATGAACAGATTGAAGTCATTTAGTATAATTTATTTAACTGAATATTTCTTGGATTATTTTGTAAATACATTTGTGGTTTTTTGGTTATTGTTATTTGTGTTGTCAGCTCTCGAGTCAAGTTCCCAACCAAAAGAACTTCTGGATGTAGATGGTTCCTCAGTGATTCTGGAAAATGGGATTACTAAGCTGAACACCATAGGCCACTATGAGGTAAGAATGAACATCCTAACATATTGAAAATTTGCTTTTGTTAATTTACAATATGCATTTTCATTTTGTTAACAACTTGCAGAGAATATGTAAACTATGACAACCTGATATAGATTTCCAGAAAAGTAAGAAAGATGCTTTATTGTATGATTTCAGATTTCAGATGGAGCAACAATTAAAGTTTTTAAGACGAAACAAGATCTATCAGCTGGTAAAACAAATAACATATTTATATAATATATTGGATTTTTGGAGATTTAAGTTTATAGTAGATTCTTTGAATCATAATTCAGAGGCAGATGTTCATATGAACTGAGAGTATGGAACTAATTTTACATATACAGTAATAGGATAAGAGCTGCAACTGTTTAACTGAAGAAAAATTAAATATTCTGTTTCCAACAGTGGGCAACTGCATGCTTCTGAGAAGCTTACCTGCCCCATCTAGGATTTCAATTCTCTCCAAATCGAACAAGATGCAAGACAAATTGAATATTTAATGCCTAGCAAAAATCAGCTCTCAAAAGCCTTGGTAAACTTGATTTTGGAAAACTAATTGAAAACCAATTGAGTAATTTCAACTTACTCACAGATGTTGGGAATAATATTTTCTGATATTTGTAAGCAAGCATCTATATCCACTTAACTATTAATTGTACTAGCTAATACAGTAATGGTGAACCTATAACTCGTGTGTCAAAGGTGACATGCCACAACATTTTGGATGACATGCCAGTGTTCACCAACACCCATCTATTCTCCCAGTTTGAGTTACCAAAGAAACTGAGTTTGTTTTACTCGTACTTCATTTTTGTAATTATTTGACATTTCTTTATATAATACTTAGCACCACACATGATTGGACTGTATTTTTTAAAAATAAATGAATATGTAAAGAATTGTTTCTCTTTTGTTCGGGAATGTGTGTGTGTGACTCACCAGCAGAGTCAAATTAGGCATTTTCCAAACTTTTGACGTGCTGAGCCCAAAAGGTTTGCCGTCACTGAGCTAATAGAAAGGAGTACTACAACCGAAGATGCTACCATCTACTATTGGCGGTAGTCTGACTAGAAATAAATTTAGCTAAATGTGCACATTTGAATGCCTTTTTCCTCAGCATCAGCCTACTTTCTAGGCCGTAGCTTGATCTTTATGTGTGCATTCAATTTCCCTTTTTTCCCCTCTTCACCATGTTGACCAGATGGAGAATATTCTGAGGACTATTGCCATCTGGTAAGTCAGCCTAATACCTAGTAATTAGTCATTTGTTTAGCTCCTTAATCACAGCACTTCCATGAACATCTGTGTAAACCTTTCTTATAGATATTACCAGATGCAGAAGCAGCCAAAGAAACACAGAGTGCAAAACATAAAGGAAAGCAAAAATTTAAAGTCAAGGAAATGTATCTCACTAAACTTCTCTCTACTAAGGTGATTCCTACATTTTATTTCTAGCCATAAAAGAATGATATATGCTATAATTATCCAGCATGTATTTTATAACCTTACAAAATGACCTGCTTGTATGCAAAGGGCCAAAAAGGACTTGGGAAAATGGACATGCCACAAAACTTTCTATTCCATATATAAAACAACTTCCAAGTATTTTGAGAATGCTTTTTATATAATTGAGCACTGAAATGGTTAAGTGCACATAATTGTGCACTGAGAAGCTCTATGAAGGGGCACTTTCTCAAATGATGGTGAGGATAAAGTGTTTGTGATAATGGTGGTTGGGTAAAAGCACATGTACTGCCTCAATCTTCCTAGAGAAAAGAAGAGATGTAAATGTAATAAGTAAATACTGTAAGTGTCCCTGCATGAAGTTCTAGATGTGAGGTTCTAGATACGTTAAGATTAATTGGATGGTATTAGGCTCCAATCTTACCAAACAGTGTGTCCTTAATAGCTTGGATTGCCTATTTTGTTAATTTATACCCCAAAAAGCTTTTTTATATATACTGTAATGAAGTATATAAAGTATATAATACAGTATATGAAGTATACTGTAATGTACGTTTTTGTTTTATCACAGGTTGCTATCCACTCAACTGTTGAAAAGCTCTTTAGAAGCATTTGGACTTTGCCTAACAACAAAGCTCCAGCTGCTATTAAATATTTTTTTGATTTTCTGGATGCTCAGGCTGAAAATAAAAAAATTACAGATCCCGATGTGGTTCATATATGGAAAACCAACAGGTATTTATGTCCTCACTGTAAGTTGGCAGTGTACAGAATATTTTTGCTATTTGGCAGATGAAGTTGCTCAGAGTTCAACAGGTCCAGTTGAGGTGCATGAAGCAAGGTCTTGGGAGGTTATTTGGAGTGAATGTGACTCAGTGACTCCCAAGGAAGTAGACAAGGTTCTCCAGTCTCTTAGCTCAGCCATTTGTCTGTTAAATCCAGATCCCTCCTGTATAGTTAAGACTGCCTTGGTGACTTATGGTTGGATCCATAGTGGTGTTGGCCTCCTTGAGTGAGGGGTTGGTCCCTTTGGCCTTGAAGGATGCTGGGGTGTGGCCTCTCCTCAAGAAACCATCACTGAACCCAACAGTCCTGGACAATTATGCTTTTTTAGGGAAGATGATAGATAAGGTGGTCAGACTTCAGCTTCAGAGGATCCCGGAGGAAGCAGGTTATTTGGACCTATTTCAGTCAGGTTTCAGGCCAGGGTTTGGTACATAGATAACAGTGGTTCCACTTGTTGATGACCTGTGGTGAAGCTAAGCTTGAGGTGGTCCTGGTGCTTTTTGATTTCTCAGCAGCTTCTGATACTGCTGACCACAGTAACCTTTCAGATTGGCTTTGGGTGTTGGGGGTGGGAAGCACTATTTTACAGTGATTCTCTTCCTTTCTCTGCAGTTAGTTTCAACTGGTGTTAATGGAGAGGAGAGATTGAGGCCACAGCTTCTTACCTGTTGGGTGCTGCAGGCTCTCTCCCCTTCTATAGTACATGAAACTGCTGGGTTTAACATCTACATGAAGCTGCTGAGTGAGATCATCTGTTTGAGGTCAGGTATCATCAGTATGCTGGTGATATCCAGTTATATATCTTGACCCTGGGTTGGCAAAGTGACACTGTTAAAGTCCTAGCCCAGTGTCTGCAGGCTGTGTGGGTATGGGTGGGGAGAAACAGACTCAGTCTCAATCTTAACAAGACCAAGTGGCTGTGCTTACTCAAGCCCCTCTCTCAATTCACTAACTTTCAGTGGGACTGTATTTCCCCGTCTGAAGTACAATCCCACTGGTGTGCAATCTGGGGTTCCTCTTGGACTCTCAGCTCCTGATTGAAGAAAGGCCTTTGGACAGGTACATCTAGTGCACCAGTTTCCTGGACCAGGAGGCCCTTCAGACAGTCACTCATGAACTGGTCACTTCATGATCTGATGTCAGGCCCAGCCCAAGAACAGTGATGAGGCAGTCCAGTCCAGTATAGTTCTTTTATTTGCTTACACCCTAAAGACAGAATCTCACCAGACTAAATCTATGCTAAAGCAACTAGTGGATATACCCCATGAGACTCTAGGGAGGGGTTAGCCTAAGCTTCTTCTTCTCACGGTCTTGTTGTGGGCTGAGAAAGCACTTGCCTTGTGCCCTCTCCTGGAATGCACCCTCTCCCTCCTGATAGCTTTGATACTCCATTCCAGTATCCTCCCCACACATACCTTCTCTTACATCAGATTATTATAATGTGCTCTGGATGGAACCGCCCTTAAAGACCATCCAGAAGCCACAGCTGCTTCAGAATGCAGTATGCTCATGTGATCCCATTGCTTTGCAAGCTGCACTGGTTACCATTTGGCTTCTGAGTGCAATTCAATTTGCTGGTGATCACCTTTAAAGCCCTGCATGGCATAGGGCCTGGCTAACTGAGAAACTATTTATCTCCAATTGTTTCTGCCCGTCCAGTGTGATCAAGCAAGGAGGGTGTGCTTTGGGGCCTGTAAATTAAACAGTGCTATCTTGTGGGACTCAGGAAGCATGTCTTCTCTGTTGCAGTGCCTGCCCTTTGGAATAACATCCCCCCAGTGATTCATGCAGCTCCCACCCTTGTGACATTTAAGAAACTGTTAAAAAACTTGAACCTTCTCCCAAGCCTTTCATTATGTTAGTTATGTTTGCTGAATGCCTGGATGTATTGTTCTCCCAGTCAGTCATGGTCTCTTTTTACTTGCATCTCTATATATTATTGCTCTTCTTTTTTATTTGTAAGCCACCCAGAATTGCTAAGGAGTTGTATGAATTTGGATAAATAAATTCCTACATACATATATACATACTATTCCAGGAATTATTACCACTGCAGGACATGTTGAAAATGTGTTAATCCGTTGAGGGTAAAAATGATTTGTTTGCTAGTTTTTTTTACAGTAAACATTTGTTACATTGTTCCATGAAGGATTTGTGTTTAATTATTTTAATATAGCTTTTTTTAAAAAATGCCTTTTCTTTGTCTAGTCTTCCTCTTCGATTCTGGGTGAATATACTGAAGAATCCTCAATTTGTCTTTGATATTAAAAAGACTCCACATATAGACGGCTGTTTGTCAGTCATTGCACAAGCATTTATGGATGCATTTTCTCTGTCAGAGCAACAATTGGGAAAGGTAGCATCTTATTTTCATGGGTCCCAATAGCCTCTTTTTAAGCACAGTTCTATCATACATACTCAAGAGTAAGTTCCAATAGAAGAGAACATATGTAGCTCAGGGTTGAATTGTAGAGTCCTTGGTGCTCTCTGAGGCTGGTTGTTTGCTTGCAGACGTTTCATTACCCAACTAGGTAATATCATCAGTGCTAGTGAGTGCGGGGTTTGCAAGCAAACAACTAAGCTCAGAGAGCACCAAGGACTCAAAAGTAAGTCCTATTAAGTTGTGTAGGACTAACTTCCAGATAAGTGCATTTACAAGATTACAGTGTAAGGCTATGTCTTCCAAACACAGTACCATTCCTATTGAAAACCATCATTTAATCTTTAAATGTGACTCTACTGAAAAGGTATTTCCTGAGCCCTGTCCACAGTCTTTTGGGAGAATAGCTTCATAACCCAGAAAGAGAAATGTATTAAGTTAACAAGCCCTTACCTAGCTTCTGAGGTGAATATATTGTGATATCTGCTGGATCAGGGCCACTCAGGAGTGCTATCTAACCAGTTTGGTCCAGTTTGTGTGAACCAATTGTTAATTTTTTCCTAAGTACCAGGAAGTTGTGAGCATTTTGCATGAATTCCTCTAAAACCTTGTAATGATAGTCTGAGAAAGGCTCCTGAAGAATTGTATATTTAGAGCAAGCAAAGTGGACTTTTATAGGAAAGAATCCATAGGCAGCCCACTTTTAAACCAGGAGGAAGCCCAGAGCAGAAGTGTGAAAAAACCATACTAGCAAGAACAGGGATCAGGTGAAAGATCCCCTTTTTCCTGTAGAGCTGAACATCTGCCCTATCGTTTCCTGGTGTCCTGAAAAGGAACCCACTGTCAGCCTGCCAAGCTTCCCAATTCTTCTGCCACTGTTCCTAGGAAAGTTCCAGGGCACCTGGCAGGAATCAGACAGGTATTTGCCTGCTGTTCCGGCTGGAAGACTACATTCCAGTTCCACTGGTGGCCCTGAGGTGCTCCCACAAGACACTTTCCTAAGTTTTAATACTCAGAGGCTTCAGAGAATGGCTGCAAGCCTGCAAATGGCCCATCTTGTCCACCAAGACTGCCTGACCATGTCTAATGATCACAAGAACTGGTTGTTCCCTAATTTTGACAACACTTTGGGGTTCACTAACAAATGAAGCATCTTGCAAACTTGTATGACACAAGGTCTCTTCTTCTTCAAAGGAAGCACCAACAAATAAACTTCTCTATGCTAAGGATATACCACTTTATAAAGAAGAAGTTAAAGTTTTCTATAAAGCAATAAGGGATTTGCCTCCACTGTCCAGATCAGAGCTAGAAGAATTTTTAATTCTGGAGTCACAGGTATCTGTCTATTATTTTTCCTGTAGTTGGAACTTAGAAGTATGTTGTAAATGGAACTATGTCTTACTGTATTTAAAGAACTGCTCCCATTAATAGATTTACTCAGATACATATCAAAGGCTCCACTAATATTTTCCTCTGTACTTCTATGTTTACATATAATTATTACTTACCATTTTATGTACTATGGGTAATGATAGTATCTTTAAATTTAAACAGTTCCTCAAGCTTCCTGATTTTTTTTCCCTAGAAACATGAAAATGAGTTTAATGAGGCTGAGGCCTTGAATAAAATTTACCAATATATAGCAAGATACTTTGATAAGGTAAGGCATTTATAATTTGGACATGTTATAATAAATTTATATTGCATTATACCTGTGACAGTGAATCATCTAGCCTAGCTGATTGTGGGATATTGAATGGCATAGAATGTTCAGGGACATTCCAGTTAGGGAAGAAGTAAACACTATTAGCAATGCACATGGCATATGTGGAGAATTTTCAGCTCTAAGAACCGTCTGCCAGGTTCCTGTTTGGCCACATGTGTGTGCACTGGCACTCCCCCAACACCCCACACCTACCCCTCATCAATAGTCACCTTCTAGTTAGGACTAAAGGGGGGAAAGAGGAACTCAGCAGAAAGTAACCGGAAGTAAATTAAGTGATCTAAGGATTAATAACCCATATGGATAAATGACACTGAAGCAATAGGTTGTGACCCTTTTTACAATTGCTGAGTTCCTACATCCCAGTGATCTTGCACCTTATTCTTGGGGCCAGTGTTGTTTCCCCACTGACATTAGCAGCATTGTTTTTCACAGGCCAGCTAGTAAGATCATCTGGCTGGGAGGAAAATGAGGGAGGCAACTTGCAGCACAAGGGTTGCCCACCCATCTTCTAAGTCTTAACAGGTGCCAAAATTTAATTTAGGAGAACCCAGAGTACATTTGGATTTTGCATTCTCTTGTCCCCTGGCCTTTGTTGTCCTGTTTCTCTTGTGCAACACTTTGGAAACAAACCTTATTTTTGTGGCAAATTATTATTTCCATAAATAAAACACAGAAGTCGATGCATGTGAGATACTCTACTAGACTGACTCAAGTAATATCCAACCAATTTCCAAACAAACTGGGTATCACATACTTTTCATGATCAAGAAAGCTTACCTGCATTTTTAGAGTGTTTTGCGTTACACAGAAATCTTAACAGGTAGAGCAGTGGATGTCCTGATAAGTAGAGATCTTTATTCTCCCTCTTCACATGAGACCCTTAGGTATACTTCAGGCCTGAAAGAGAGCTTGTATAATTTAGTATTTTATATCTGGCTGGCAGGTAATAAAACTATCTTAGCATTCAATATGCCAGTGTGGAGAAAGTATTTATATTTTGGGTAGTTGTTTCCTCTTGATTATTGAAGTTGATATATAGTTGATATGACCTATTGCTACTGCAGTTGTATTTCCAGAAACACTTGTGATTTTAACTGAGGTTGCTAGTGTCAACAGAAGTGTTGTTCATCTTGTGATTAATAATAACTTGTAAAGGAAGATGCAAAAATAGCCTGGCTCTAGAAGGAATGGTTACTCAAGCAGAGCTTACTTTTTGACATTGGGGAAAAATGTTTAAAAAAAATAAGCACACATTCCTTTGTTCTCATAGATACTGAATAAATTAGAGATGGAGCGAGGGTTGGAAGAAGCCCGACAGCAACTTTTGAATGTAAAAGGTATAATGGATGAAAAGAAAAAATGCAAATGGGCTTAAGAAGAATTTTATAACTGCTGCTGTTATGGAACCGAATTCAAAATATTGGCCAACCCAGTTCTGTTCACACAAAACTAGCAACGGATGCCCTCAGATTGGAACAGCCGGCTCCAGCTGCATCCCATCAACAAAGCGGAGCCGGAATCAGAAGTATCCTTGTCTGCTGCTGGCATCTGAAGCGCTCTCTCATGTGCAGATCTCCCCTCTTAGGTTGAAGCAATCAAGTAATTTTGGTAGACATTTTTAAATTAAAAACAAATGGTTTTATAATTCACAATTTTGTCTAATTTCTACGCTCTCACTGAGCAGCAACTTATGTGCCTTAAAAGACTTCTCTGTTGGTTTCAGATAAGCACAAATATATCCTCTTGTTGTTCATAGTCTGAGCACCAAATTATTAGGAGCTTTCAACTGCTATATGGTTTTACAATGAAGAACAGGTTTTCAGTTTCCCACAAATAGTTGTGCATTGTGACGTAACTAAAAGTGATGTGGGACTGAAGAGGAGGGGAAGGTTTCCAGCACATTGATACAGCAAGGTCCCCCACCTCTTCCTAAGGTAAAGTCTGCTTCATGTCAAGCTCAACCTCTGATGATGTCGCGGACATGTCCATGTAATTTTCTTGGCATGATAATGGAAGTGGATTGCAATGGCTTCAGCTTCCCAATCTTCTGTATGCGAATAGCCTAATTTACACTTTGAAATTTTTCCATCATTATATCTGCACTTTTTAAAAATGAGCTGGTGGTCTTTCCTATCTGTATTTTCATTAGTACATACCTGTATTGTAAATATAACGGCAAAACAAAAATGACAAAGAGGGGTTTTTTTACAACTCAAGTTACAAAAATGTATCATAATTTCACTGTTGGCGATAAAATGTGGGGGAGGGTGTCACGGTCAGGTGCATATTCTTCGTACCCACTCAGCTTCTATGCCTTCCCTGCAGTTGGAATACAGACTTTCTCAGCTATATTTTGTACGGCTATGTAGTGCCTGGATTTGAAGGCCAAACCATATTCCCATACTTGTCTACAACTTCTTCAGGAAGTTGTACCTTTTCCTGGGATTGGGGTGCTGCTCCACAGTTGCAGCAGAATCCCAGGAAAAGGTATGTTTGGGGTAAAGAGTGCTATGCCCACACTTTAAAGCATCTTCTTGCTTTCAGAAACAAAACACTGCTCAGCTCTAATATTTAGAGTTCCTTTGTTGCCTGTCACATCCTGCTCAGAGTAATATTTGCAGGTAATAATATCAGCAGCTGTTGCAACAATTTTACAATTTTTAAAGAGAAAAACTTAAAAGTGCCTCAACAAATAGACATTATAGCAGGCTCTTGTCCCATTACTTCTTGCTAGGAAAACACAGACATTAATATTGGCAAGCTGAACCAGCCATTATAGGCTGATGATTCTTTAGGACAATCGGTTGGCTTGTCCTGCAAAATACAATTAAATAGATGTGTTCTGATAGGTAGGAAAATGGAGGGAAGAGCGATTCCCCCCACTGTTCCCTATAAGGTGTAGACAGGCAGTGAAGAGACTGTATATTTTTCATTGAATACACTTGTGTAAAAATAAAAAGCAAAGAGGAGGAAACTGCACAAGTATGAATGCTGTTGTTGTTTTTCTCATTTCTTCAGAAAATGTTTTACATCTCACATCGTGTGGAAAATAAGTTTTAGGAAATTTAAAAAATATTCTGCACAATGTGACATATTTGCCAGTAGGTGGTGAAGATTTATTCCCCAAATAATTGCCTGTTAATTATTGGATGAATAACATAAGAGAAAGCAAAACATACAACTGCATGTTACACAGCATGGATGCCTCTGAGTAGACTAGACTAGATTAGACCTTCCCAAACAAAATCTGTTCAGAAATGATCCAATGAATTTGCATGTCTCTACCCCCCATGACTAAGATAAATGATTTCATTGGGATCAGACATGGGCAAGAAATAAATAGACCACTTTTAAAAATTAACTTTTAATCTGTACACCAAATAAAACTATAATAAAACTATACAAGGGGATTTCTTTGGAAACAAGCAACCCCTCCAGTATTTAAAACTGTATTTTTAATGGAAAGGGCATGAGCTTGCTGACTTTTGTGTAGTTCCTGAATTCAGGGTTTCATTTTGAAGACAGTCACTCTTATTCAGCAAAGTCAGGAAGGAAAAGGGGGGCTTTTTTTGTTTTAAATCAGCTTGAGTTAAAACACTGACAGATGTAAGCCTCTTCAAGTGCTACTTGTTTGAAGGGCAAAAGGGTGGTGGTGGTGCCTTTAAAAGAAAAAAATATGAAAAAGACCACTCAGGCTTCATGTCTGGCACCAGCACCACAGAGTTGCTTTGCTTTCAGCCAACTGATAGCCTACTCAAAAAAAGGAGAGCAAGGGAGGCCCTCAGAGTGGGATTTCCAAAAAATTAGCCCTTTTGTAATGCCTAAACAGGGTCTACCCCCCTTCCCCGGCTCTTTCCTCCCTTTTTTCTGCCTAATTACCTCTCTGTGTGGCTTTGTGTCCATTTCTGTTCAGTTGTATTCCCCTGTTCTTCTTTTTCCCCAAACAGCTACTCCTTCCTGAATTGTGCTATTTTTTTTAAATGTTCCGTTTCTGCTGGAAGGACACAGGAAAATGGGTATACTGTATATTTCTGTGTTTCTCTGTGAAAGTGGTTTGTGCATGCAAAGGGGATCAGTACTGTAAGTGGAGCACTTTATTTGATAACCAATTAATTTTGATCAATAGTTACTAAATGAATACATGCGGGAGCAGGGAATGTACCCTTTTTTGGGAGAACACGGTTTCCAATAAGCATATACGCATGGAGGGTGGGGGGAATATCCAGGGCTGGTTTGAGCTGGAATTTGTAGATGGGCTTTTAAAATGTTTGAAAATTGCAATGTATTTATTGTATATTGCATTACTGAGAGGAACTACTGAGTTAAAACATTTCTGACAATCTCTAGAAACAACCCATGTTTAGCATCCTTACTGTAAATATGTGAAACAATTTAAACTTATTTTAAATTGTTTATAGGTGCATATAATTCCAATGCTATTAGGCTTAAAGTAATTCTTTACAAAGTATAAATGGAGTTGGAAAATATATTGTATGAATATATAAAATGTTTTATTTCACTTATAAACTGTGATGTTTATTTTTGTTTGATTTGCAACTTAAGTACAGTGGTACCTCGGGATACGAACTTAATCCGTTCTGTGACTCTGGGCATATCCCGAGT